TGTGGTCCTTATTGCTGTATATAATCAGTTTTTAAATATAAAAGAATCCAGGAAAGGGAATAAAGTGAGTATTTAGATGTGGGGTAGACAATATTTGATGGCTGAGAACTACCCTTCCTTCCTTCCTTGACATGTAACAGGGAATGAACCGATGCAACGTAGCTGAAGCCACACCATATGTGTGGGATTTTATGGATTGGTTTGGGGTTTTTTAGTTGTGTATGTTGAAAAGATTTAGTTTTTAAAAGATAACTTAAGTATATTCTAAAGTTTATGTAACATTTTTATTTTTTCCATTCTCCATTGAACAATAGCAGGAAATCATGCTGCCTATTTTGGGCTATTGTGTCTCCACAATAGATTGGATTGGCTCCAGCCCTGCTGTTTGTCCACAAGGACTGAAAGGTGTGGTTCTGTTGCCAGCTTGGGGGTCCAGATGTGTGGTAGAGCCCATGCTGTGGCTGTGTTAATTGCTCTTGGGGAGGTAAGGGGGTTGTATCTCAGCTGCTGGCTGTACATGTATGGTTTTTTATATTGCTTATTTTTTATGTAATTTTTAATTGGTACCTGCCAAGAGCCATGAATTTGAGATGGGCAGCCACAAAAGAAAATAATAAAATAAAATAAATAAAATTCTGATAATGGGTTATAGGACAAAGAGTCTGCCCTTAAATTGTACTCCAAAGATCTGGAAGCCAATCAGACTTGGCTGCCGTACCGAAAGATGGGTTGTTGGGCAGCGATTCACTTTTTTCCAAGGTGGCTAGATATCTAAGCCAAATAACAGTTCCCTGATTCAGAAGAGCCTCAACCCTGCAATATGTAATGCCCTCACAAGAGCTGTTCTCAGAGGGAAATTATGGAGTATTTGAACAAAGACTTTGTCCCTGTGGTGAGGGAGTTCCTGAAACATTAACCTATATTTTATTATATTGGTCCTATTTTAAAGATGCCCAGCTGCAGCTAATAACTCCTCATCTAGTCAGATTTCCAAGTTACTCAGATCCATCTTATTTATGGTTTTAGTATGTATCAATGTGATTTCATTTTTCTGAATTTGTCTGAATTTTGTTTTGCTATTTGCAAAATGCACCAGACTTCAATCACTACCAGTTTTATAATTATTGGATTTTACTGTTGTTGTTTTTTACTTCTCACAATTTGTTTTTTTGTTTGGTTTGGTTTGGTTTTTTGGGCTGTTCAGTTGACCATAATAAACTACTACTACTACACTGGAAGTACCCTGGAGCTGCTTTGGGGAGGTTGTCTGCTGCTGATCCTCTGCCTTATCCTAAAATCTATAATCTACTTCTCATACTGTACTACTTTGCAAGTCAAAGAAGTTCATTTTAAAATGTGGATTTTACAAGCTTGATTTCAATTCTGCAATGAAAATAATCATGAGATAAGCAGAGAATGCAATGTCACAGTGATTTATAGGCAACCGTCACCTCTGCACTTATTATTTCTCATCTTATATATTAATGAGCTTTCATGTTTTCTGTAGGTACATTTCTTTTTTCCATTTAGAGGGGTAAAAAGACCAATAAAAGTGACAGCAGGTTCTTATTCCAGGAAAAACTGGTTGAAGAAGGCATTGGCTGACCAAGGATTTCCACAGTATGGCCTGAACATCACGGTCTGAAGTGCGGTACATCTGACAGGCCTGTGAAATGAAACAGTGCTTGGGTTCCATTCAACAGGCTAGACAAATGTATGGATTCCATCAAGCTGATGATATGCTTATGGCTTGCCTTTACAGAAAAAGAATCAAGTTTAATCTAAGCCTCTTTTTTATATATATAAAAGGTTGCAGTCAGTCTTTTTAATACATATTTGCCTGAAATGTCTAAAAAATGGGAACATCACTGCATGTAACAGCTGCCTGCAAGGATGGCAGAAAAATGGTTTATTACTCTGGGAAATCTTTTTCAACATTCTAGTGTTTCTTTATTGATCACTTCCTGTAATAAGACTGCTTTTTTCTGGGAGATCTGATTTTGGTTTAGCTACAGTAAAAGTTTTATACTTTGATTTACTCAATTTCAACAAGTTATTGAGAAGGATCCTTCTTATGACAGCTGACTTTTATTTTGGAGAAACAGCTGGCCAGATGCTGAGAAATGAAGAGTGCTCTGATTTTAGCAGTAACGTATTATGGAAAACACTTTTGGAAATCCTAGTGTAGCTGGAAAAACTAGGGGTTTTTCATATAGTTCAACTGAAAAGCATGTGAGTTGGAAGCTTGAAATTAAGTACAAAGGTTAAGTATTTTAACTATATTTAATATTTTCAGTTTCATTTTTTTGTTAGACTAATGACAGTATTTAAAGTGTAAATGTCCTGGTCCTCCACCAAGCTGAATGTAAATTATACTTTGGTCTAGAATGTGTAGTACTGGTAATGCATTTAAAAATTGGTGCACTTTATAGTTGACAGAGGCTTTAAAGTACAAATATAGACAATGTAACAGACAATATACGAAGGACTTGTAAGAATGACAATATCCCTTTGTATAACTTTAAGATCCTAAACAGAGTTGTACGGGATCAGATGAAAAGTCTCTATTCTTACAGAGACAAATCAGATATCAAGTATTCAAGCAGGATTTGAGCCACTATAGAAATTAAATGCTGGACTAAACAGGACTCTTAAGATGTTCTTAAATGAATATTTCCCTGTCCTCAGCTTCCCATGTACCAGTTTCATTGGAAGGCAGGGAGAAAAAGTCCTCTCAGTTTCCCACAGTCTGGGTACAACTTGATTCAAAAAATTATGTTCCCTTCTTTTTAAAAAACACCTTCCCCAACATGGAGAGCCTTCCAGTCTACATATCTGCTTACATTTCAGTGTGATTTTATTTTCTGTGTGGTAAATTGCTGTTTTTTTACTTTTCTTAGAAGCAGAACTCACTGAACCCCATACTTAAAATTCCTCTCTCTGATACATATGCCTGTGAATCATTCTCCATACACGTAAGACATATAATGATTCTAGATCCTTAGAAATAAAGTAGTACAGATAACAATAACACCAGGATTTTTTGCATTGCACATAAAATATGTTTGCTCATGCACTATTTGGGAGTATATTAATGTGGTTGAAATATATAGAAATAAGTTTAAAAGGAAGTAGAAATGAGCCAGCCAGAGATGAAAATTAAAAATTTAACCTATTGACATACTCTGGGAGTAAGCACATCAGATTATGCCAAGGTCAATTAAGGAACTGTGCACATAGATGAAAAATTAAGGCAAAATGGCAGGAGGACAAGTTCTCTTAAAAAAGCAAAGCATTTAGATTCCTACAGTCACCAGAATCAGTTGATTTGATGTGAGAACCAGAAGTGACTTGAAATAGAATCCTTCAAAGTAACCAGGATTTCTGTTTAAGAGTCATTCTTAGCAACCATTACATTTAAATGCTACAAATATGTTTTCTGCAATAAGATTTGCAATACTTTGTTTTAAAAGCTGCAGCTTCCTTGACATCTGAGGATCAAGTGATAGATTAAGGGGTGAGATACCAGCATATGTGAATAACTATTGTTTGTTGTATAAGGCTCTTATAAGAAACATGAAGTCCTATCCAACCATAGCACACAAGCTCTCTTTGCAGCATGCACTCAATTTTAAACTGTGATATAATCTATTACTCCTCTGATACGTTGGACCACAGTTGCCAATAGCAAGTCTGAGGGCAGGAGATTGGGAAAGGCTAAAAAAAAAATCTGTTAAATACAATGTCATTGTAAAAAAAAAACCAAAAAAACAACAACAACCCCAATGCTGCCAGATTGCACAATCTCCATCAGCACCAAGATTTACAGAATATTGTTTCAAAAGATAACTTTAAAATAAAGTTCACATAAAATAATGCACATCCTCTGATCTCTTTTTCTTGTCAGCAGGTTTTTGGGGGTAAGCTAGGGCAAAAAATTATAGAAAGATTGTGCAGACCTTACTGCATAACTTGACACCAAATAAAACACTTTACCCTTCATATGAATAACTATGGATATAGAACTATGTTTTTTTTTTAACCTAGCCTGCTTTCAAGGCAAGTTTATATACTGTATAAGCAATAAAGCACTTTAACTTTGGCTTAGCATATTGTGTGAACCCAGCCATTGTGGTTTGTAAACTATCATTATCCTAGTTAACTTATTCAAAAAAAGGCATAGAAAGCAAAGTATTTACATGGTGTCATGCTGGCAAAAGATTTTCTCAACACAAACTATTTTTCTTGTTTTGAATTTTGTAATGGAAGATGCTATGAAAATTACTGTACTGGGATATATTACATATCTAATTCAATGATTTGATTTTACTACCTGCTGTCTGAAATGGTAAATCCATAGACTTTCCTCACTATTTTTTTGTCTCAATTAGGCCATACTGTTAAAAGCTATATATGCCTCTGTAATCCTCACTACAGTAAACTTGGTATTGGTTCATATTCATCATTTTCTAGAGCAACTTGCTTGTTTAAGGCAAAAGGCTCAATTGCTTACAGGAATTTGGAAGCAGACTACTCTTTAAAATATTTTTTCTTCTGACCAATGGGCATTTGTTTGAGCTAAGAAGTATTTCAAGCTACCTTTTTTCTTCTTTAATGTTCACGCAAGCAGGATGGGTCATGGGAAAAGAGAACATGAATCAAAACGATGATTGTGATGATGAGCTGGGCATTAAAAAAGCCAAAATTCCTTCTTTGTGAAAGCTGAAAATAACATTTTCTGCTCTGAGTCTGGCAACACTTGGAAATAACTCCTTTTCATATATACATGTTCATATAATCTTCTATTGCAGGAATGGCCAACGTGCCCCGCCAGAGGTTTAGAAATTCAATGCCCAACAGCTGCAACTGGTGTGGCCAACAGAGGATAGCGTCAGATGGAGGTCAGACTGTCTGGAAGGACACATGCTGCCCACCCCATTCTAGGAGATCAGGATTAGGATTAAGGCCCCTAAAGTAAAAATCCAGACACAAGAAAGAAGTAAACTTGTGAAACTCAATTTTATTTTGTCCAATGTCTAATGAAATGTCCAATGAAAAATAAATAATTCATACAATAAAACTCTGTAATAATAGACACATTTTAGGCAGTTCAGAATAACAACCAAGATCCATGAATTTACATTAAATAACCAATTACTAGAACAACAACTGTCATCCAGTTCCATTTAATTTGATGTAATATGGGTACAGCCTTAAAGTTCCCTCTTTTTACCTGGTTAGAAGATATCAGTTGCAAATAATTTTCTTACATGTACAAAAGAACAAAAAAACCCATAAAAATAAAAATAAAATCAAATGTAGTGGACATGAAAAGCAAAAAGACAAGTTTGTTTATTCTTTGTTACCGTTATTTTCAAAAGATTTCAATTTTGTTGAGTTTGCTGCATAAATTCTGAAGTTTTAATGGATGAAACACATCTGTTTCAACTCTATATTTTTTTCTTAACTTTATTTAAAGCAAATAAGAACCCATAGCACATGTATAGGGCTTCATTACAGGTTTCAACTGCGCACTGCTTTTAACTTTAAATTCAGCAAAATATTTTCCTGCTAAAAGGGCAGTTTCCCCTGAGGTAAATAGATGTAGCATATCTGTAAACTGCATCCACTGAAACTGTTTTTTGACACTAAGGATATAATAACTGTTGCTGTTGGGTTTTTCTAAATAGAATTTACATGGGGTTCCATCTGAGTGAAATGAACTAAAGTTGAGCAGAAGTAGCGCTTGGACTCTTTCCTGCCATATACATACGTGTCTGTATTCAAATTCTACTGACAAAGAGACAGCCCTTTCAGTTCTTACCTGGTTTTCAAAGGGAAGACAACAAGGCAAAAAACCTGCATGTGATTGCCCCCATTAACATAATTGTATTTTTGTCAACATACTATGAAGATGAAACATGAAGCAGATACACCCTGACAATAAGTCAATGGGAAGAAGACCATACTGTAACCACTTTTACAGCTGCAATTAGTCTTTCAAAACTAATTCTTTACAATGAGAAAAAGTAAATGATCCCACATATCTGTAAAATGTAAGGGTTTAACAGAGTACAGCAAATCTGCTTAGTACCTGAATCTAAAAACCACAAGAATAAAAACATTATATAGTAATCATGAGATATTCCCTATTGTAATCCCAAGTGAAAAACATCAACTGAAGAAATTACATTATGAGCATTTTTAAAGTGTAAACCTATTTGTAAGTGGAGAATGGCTCAAAGTTTTGTACAGGGAGAGAATGATGCATATTGCACCATATCATTAGTGACCCATACATACTACATACAAACATACATACTATACCCCCCTTTGTCGTAAACCTCTCCTCAGGGAAGTCTGGGATTGAAAACATGTGGAAGAGCGCAGTATGCAGTCTCTTCCATCACATATTTCAAGTCCTCACATAATCTTTCAAATGGAGGAATAAATTAAATTAAACGTCTAAATTCTAGAAACATTAGTGACAAAGGTTGAGCCCACAGAACCAGAATATAAAAATAGAGGATTTGTTTGTGTCTAACTGCCACCTCCCAACTGTTATACAGTAGGAACTAGAAATAAGTGAAATCCAGACAGTATTCATTAGTTTTTTACAATACTGTTTTCACTCCTAGTTTTAATTTTTTTTACAAATTATACTTAAAGTGAATTTTAACAGGAAAACACACATTGTTAATTATGAGGCTTTAAAATGTGTGTTTTTCCACTGACCAATTTCATTCTATGTGGTAAGAAGAATAAAATTTTCATGAAGTGAAACCCAACACAAATCTCTGATAGTACAGATTAATTTTCCAAAGAATAAAGCAACGTCTGATTAAGTCAACTCATTTAAGCCATTATAAATACCCTACTGTTCCAAACTCTGCATTAGGAGAAAATGTCACACTGTACACAATTTTTGTCTTTCTAATTAAAATGCAACAGAATTGTACTGTTTCTCAAATAAAAGCTATTGTGGCAAGCATAGAATGGCAGAGTCTGCAAAATTAAACATTTGGAAATCCAACATTTCTGACAGGAAAAAAAGCAACAAGCACTTAATTTTCAACTGAAGCCAATGGCTTCAGAAATACTTAATGTTGGCTGAATAGTGTTCAAAAATATTTGGTAACCATTGCCTCATTACCCAGATGCAGATTAAAAATCATAAGGTTTGTTAGTTTGTTTTGCAGTATCATAGGAAGAAAATCAAAGCATTTTTCACACTTGTAAAATGACATTTGCTAATATATGTGTTTCATGTTCTCAAGCTGCCTATTGGAATATGTAATTGGATAAATGAAATCCATATTTAAACCTTATATGGAACCTTGAATCATCATGAAACACAGATGCTCACGCAGAAGAGAACAATCACCACCTCTTGAATAGCAAGAAAAGCACCACCTCCATTGTCCATCTGGGGCTTTCCCCAGTTTGTGGTCAGGTCTGCTCTGCTTCTGTAAAAGTATCCATACGAACAAGAGCAGATGGACAAGAGTCAAAAGTTTTGTAGTACTATTCCAAAGGGACTATAAAATGGAACTTATTGTCAAGTGACAGGTTTAGTGCATAACAATTTTTAAAAATCCAAAGAAAAATGACATGGATTATGTCCACAAGCATAGTTAACTAGTAAGAATTGTTTATAAACATTCTGTCCAAATAATACAACTGTAATTGATTCCTGTAACCAGGTAATTAAAGATGTCACTTCTATCATCCTTCATGAAAATTGAAACAAAGAAAATATAAAAATGAACAATGGTTCATTAGAAATAGATTCCAAGTACACAATCCATTATCAACTGATCTTATACAGAGAACTCTCCCATTCCATCATACCCTCTTTCCCACTGAAAGGTATGCAAGAATGCTGTTCCATTTTAGCTGACTCATGCAGGAAATGGCCATAATGGACTTTCAATTTATTTAATTGAACTGTTGATTTATACATACAAGTAAAGGGAGTAGGTCTGAACTGTAAAACAATACAATCAACACAAATAAAAGACCCATTTGAGAAAAGACATTACCAATCAAAATGTAATTCAATTAAAACTGAGTTCTCACTAGTTTCAGTAATTCAATTTCTTTATTAAATTGCCTGAATGCATTTTGAAAAGCGAACTACCTGTGTTAGGCAGGTGATTCACAGATGTAACATTTGCTATGTGAGAGCATTCTCTGCATGACTAAAATATTGATACATCTTTTTTTGTAGGTGTTCTCACATATATACACCACTTTGCCATGACCGTTTTCCTTATGTGAGATTAAAAATAAAATATATATGTAGGAGGAAATTGTCAGGCATATATTTCAGCTGTTCTTTATTAGTCAGAATCTCAGATTATTTCTCTTATAATCTGATCCAAAATAATTGCACAGCAACAAATAACCTCCATCTTCTGCCTAACAATGATTTTCAACTATAGGTGATTTCATTGTACATAATTACACATTGATATCTCTTGAATATTTAAATATGTATGTAAAAAAGGCCCTCAGAATAATCATTTGTTTTATATCCAAGTTCTTCTTCTATTTAGCCAAACTTCAAAAAAGTTACAAATAAACAGAACATTATACAGGATCTATAAATCCGGTTTAAAAATCTGAAGCTTCAAAATCATGGTAGCCCAAATGGACTTATAGGAAATTCTGCACATTAACAAGATAGCACAAAAGACTGGAACAAATGAAGACAGACAAAAATTTGCTGTCTTAGAATTTTACTAATCCTGCCAGTTAAAGATGGTGATCTTATCAGAAGTAACAGCGTATGCTGAAAGGAAGGAGAGATGTTTTTATGTTGGTCCCAAGTGGTAGGACTTACAATTCAAGTATTTCCTATTTGATCTGAGCTCACCATAGCAAAGTGATACAAAATAAAAAAAAAAGACAAAGAGAGGAAGAAAGAGAGAGGGATGAATTATTTTACTTTTGTTCCATACATTCGATTAATATCTTCTTGATAGTGTGCAGTAAGCTCTTTACGTTTTAGTTTGAAGGCATCTGTCACCAAACCTGTTTCAGGGGTCCAAGGTTCAGGGGACAGCCGAATTTTGAAAGGAATTTCAAATTTCTCCAGATTAGCTGTAACAGAAAGATAAAATTTCAGTTTTAAAATCATATCTCCAAAATGATGTTACAATCTTGGAAAAGATGTTATAAACTTGGAATAGATACAGAAAAAGATAAAAGATAAATTTTAACACTTTCCCTTGTGAGAAACATCTAAAACCTTTGGATTATTTGGCTTGGAGTTGGGGATATGGCAAGCACAATTAAGAAATGTACTGTGTGGAAAAGGATTTTTCCCCCCTTTTGAAGAAATATTAGAATTTAGGATCATAAGATCCTAGATCATAGATGGCAGCAAGATTCAAGAAATACACTGTAATATTTGTTTATGGAGTGCCCGACCACAAAATGTAATGAAGTTTGATAGCTTTGGTGTCCTTCAAAGGCTCTTACACAAACTCAGCGAAAAGAATCAAATCACAAGTATTAGAATGGGGTATTTGCACAATCAAGTCCAATCCCCAGTTCAGTGGAGGAATTTAAAATATCCCTATTTAAAGTAACCCTGATAGGCTAGCTAGCCTCTGTTTGGACATATCTAGTGAAGTGGTGGGGTAACAGTTTCCATTGTCTAATGTTAGAAAAAAACATTTTAAACTATTCAATTAGAATCTGCCTTCTACAACGTGAATGTACTGGTGTCCCATATTCTGGATCAATAGAGTAGAGGGCTTGAGCTTCACCTAGGTAACCTCTTTTTTTCTCTTCCATGATTGACATTCCTGCTACCTTCAATCTCTCCTCACAGAACCTGATTTCTAGTCCCCTGATCATTTTCACTGCATTTCTCTGAATCATTTTGAATTTGCCTAAATTATTTTTGTCTAAAACCAGACTTAATACTCTAGATGGAATTTGACCAATTCAAAATAAAGTGGACATTTCCACAATTTATATTATAAAATATGCTTTTTTGTAGCCACATCTGACATATATTTGGTTTGCAATAGAATTATTGCCAAGGTTTTTTGGGGGGAGGGGTACCTCCAAGACAGACTTAACCCTAGATTAGTCCCTGCAATTTTCTTGGCAAGGTTTCAGAAGTGGTTTGTCATTGCCTTCTTCTTAAGGCTGAGAGAGAATCACTGGCCCAAAGTCACCCAGCTGGCTTTGTGCTTAAGGCAGGACTAAAACTCTAAACTATCCAAAAGTATCAGTATCAAACTGACTGGTCTGTGGTTCCCTGGATCTTCTTTTATTCCCTTTGAAAACAGACGCATTGTCTGGTTCTTTATTCTTTGTCCAGGATTTCTGAAAGATAATACAGTATATTAAAGTAACGTAGGATGTAATTCATCTGGTCCTGTGGTCACTTCTTATTGTGACTATATGGAATTTCTTATTTCAAAGGAAATATGCATCTGAGCAGAATTACAGGAAAGCAACAGCAGGAGGAAGATGGTATTGGAAAATATTTTGTGCATAAGCAATAATCTTGTGGCCAGAAATATTTTTACGTTGTTTGTGTATCGACTGAAATTAAGAGAGAGCCAGTTTGTTCTAGTGGTTAAGACATCAGGCTAGAATCTAGGAGAGTGTGAATTCTAGTCCCGCCTTAGAGATGAAATCTGTCTGGGCGACTTTGGGCCAGTCACTCTTTCTCAGCCCAACCCATCTCACAGGATTGTTGTTGTAGGGAAAATAGGAGGGGAAAGGAGTATTAGGTATGTTCACTGCCTTGAGTTATTCATAAAAATAATAAAGGTGGGATAAAATTTTTAAAAATGGCTGGTTGATGTTTTGTTCTAGAAATTTGATTGTTTCAGACAGAAGTGTTTTGAGTGTTCTATTTAATTTTAGCTGCTCAGATTGGAAGTTACTTAATCTCTTTTAACTGTTATCTTTTGCGTTCTTCTGTCTAGGCCAGTACAGCAGGAAGGAAAAATTACATCCCTACTGCTACTGACATAGGCTGGGGTGGGGGTGGGGAGATATATGTGTAAATCTGGGTAGAATTATGAAGTGAAGCATCAGGCATTTAAATAGCATGTGTTACAGAGGCAGCTGTTCTGGATCTAACTACTGTTGTTATAAGACTGACCAGAGAACTAGCTACAAAGGAAGAAAGAGCCGCGGGGGACCATTGGACTCAATGCGGAACAGATGCTTCAGCTGGAATAGTGGGGATTGGTATTAAGGTCTCTGGTTGCCTCCCTGTCTTTGAGGCAAACTTCATAGGTATTTTAGAGCATGGATTGGTATATGCTTTAATTTTAGCTTTGATTCAATTTAGTGGGCTGAGTTGGGGGATTATTTACACAGAAAGAGGAAGGAGGAGGGATTCTACCACTACATCCGCTTGCTTTTCCAATCAGCCACCTTTAAATTGAAATTAACATTTCTCCCTCTTGACAACAATTCCTTGCTTATTTATTTGGAGAAATGAATTCTTTTAATTAGTTTATGTACACATTGACATTGATAGCACTGCTGCATGGACATTATATAGAGCTCTTTTTCTGTTATAAAAAGAAACTGCTTTAAGGCTTCTCTCCACTTCCCCAGTTTAGGGTTAGCTAGATATATTCTCCAAATTATATCCCTCCCTTTAAAAAAAAAAAGCTGAAGAAACCATAGCCGGACAAGCTAATTCAGTTAGAGGGCTAGTCAAAGAGAAAGCAATGCTGAGGTTTGCTGGGCAAGGGAGGGGGACAGTCATTGCTATAAGGAGGTCACAGAGTATTTTTACTTCTATGTAAATACTCAGCTATGTGTCCCCTTGATCCTTGTGAGTAGAAACCTATAGCCAAGACAATTTCTGCACTTCAGTTTTCTTCATGAAGAACCTTTTCAGTGCAAAGACAGCCACACTAAGCCATGTTCTGTCATTGGTTTTTTTCTTACAAAATCCTTGGGTGAACTCCAGGAGAAATTGGCAGGCCAGACTGTGGAATCATGCAGTGGCTCGGCCCTTGGGTTTGAGCAAGTATTTGTGTTTTCCAGTCTATGTGACCAAGGGTGAAAAGGATGGCACTCCATGCTGGCCATTTCCCCTGGTAGGCAGAGCTCCTGGTTGCAGAAGTGACAACCAGGTGGAGAACAGAAGACTAAGTCACAAGCATGAATGCCATCCAGTGGATACTCTTTGCCCAGCAGTAGCCAGAGCCCCAGTTCTGGAGGAGAGTTGTCCTTGGTAAAGCCTGCTTGGTATAGTGCTAGGAAGTTCCTTAGTTTGTTTTGCAATACTTGGATGAGCAAGAGAAAGCTAAAGGCAGACCCACACCTCTTTGGGGCAACCAAAACAAAGGTCAGGCCAGATTTGGCAAACATTGCCTGGCAGTACTTCTCTTGCCCACCAAACAGCATCTCTAGATAGAGGATATTCTCCACGGTAGGAGACACCCCATCACTCCCACCTGAATGCTGACATAGCAGAGCAATTCATCTTCCCTAAGATGAACCTCCCCTTGCTGGACTCCCCAACCTACCATTGAAGGAGCCTGAGGATCAGCCATTTACCTCACTCGCCAAACTGCAGGCAATTACTTTAAAACATTTTAGACTAGCCTTTTAATCAACTAACTGGAATTGATTTAATATTTTTTGCCAGAATGTTCTGCCTCCCTGGAGAAGGTATCTGCTTTAAAGGGCTGTATCTTGTGTGAGAGATCAAAAATCAGAGCCAGCCTATCTCCCCTCACAATCCTTTCAATCTGATACCTATTCACCCAGGGCAAATGACTGTACTCAAAATTTAAAGAAAACTAGGGGTAAGGCTACCAATCTGGATTGAAAAAATATGGATGACTGCTAAATGGCAGCAGAGTTACAGCCTTCTATATCTCTTTCTTACTGTTCAGTGGTCACTCAGATATATAAATATGATAGACAGACAGACAGACAGACATGCAGCCAAAGAGGTTTGTTCTGAATCTCACTCTTTTCTATGGTCCAGCATTGAAAACTGTTACATTTTTTGTTTCTGCTGAACCATGGCTGATCCAAAATTTGGTAGAACTTCCAGGATTCAATGTTCTGAATTGAAAATAAAACACTTTTTCTGTTTTGTGCACATGGGTGCTACTTCCATGTTCTGATTGTGAGCTTTTTGGAAGCATCTGGCTTGTTACTATAAGAAACAGGATGCTGGGCTACAAAAGTTCTATGGGATTTGTTTTATCAACTCCTACCTGTCTTGTTATAATAACAATAAAGAAGAATCTTAAGAATGTATTTCAGAATATCTTCACTGTTCCTTACTAGCGTACCCCCTACTAATTCTGTATAACTCTGTATATAGTTTTCACACAGTGACTTGAACAAAATTGTTAACTTACCTGTCATAGCAGCCTCAGCTAAAAGCTTCTGTACTTCTTTCTCCATTTCAGAATTATTACATATCTCTTCCAAAGTTCCTCTAAATCCTTTCTTTCTTGCTAACTCTTTAAGTTCTTTATGGTTTGGCACAACAAATCCAATAACGTAAGACTGGAAACTAATACAGAGAGATATGCACAATTTCATAATTAAGTTGCCAATCTGTTTTATAAAACTTTAGTAATTTTCTACATGCTTATTATATTTTTCCCTATTTTTCCCCAAATATAATGAAGCACATATTACTTTTATCGCAGGGGTTTCATTTGTGACAGCATCCCTGCTTTTTCACAGTTCTTGTTGCATTATTTTTATGCTCCTCAAAGATGCAGGAAATTCATCACACTGGTTATTAATCAGATATAATGTTCAGCAATGGAATGGCATTATATGAAGGTTCTTTTAGCTGCCCAGAAATCATAAGGTTGGAAAAGACCTTGGAGGTCTTCTAGTCCAACTCCCTGCCCAAGGCAGTAATGCTCATATTACTGTTGACAAATAGCCATCCAGCCTTTTCTTGAAAACCTCCAGTGATGGAGCATCCACAATTTCAGGAAGCAGGCTGAATTGCTTAATAGCTCTCTCAGTCAGGAAATTATTCCTTATTTCAAGTTTGGATCTTTCACTGTAAAGCTTCTACCCACTGGTTCTTGTCCTCCCCTTGGGTGCTCTAGCAAATAAATCCACACCCTCTTCCTGGTGACATCCATTCATGTATTGAAGACTGCTATGAGCCTTAATCTTCTCTTCTTTAGGCTTCAACCCTCTTTGTAGGATTTAGCCTCCAAGGTTTTTACTATCTTTGTCACTCAGTGTTCTTTTTGTATTGTGGTCTGTAATCTTGTTACTATACCTCTATTGATGCAGCCCAAAACTGCACTGGCTCTTTTGGCAGCTGCAGGACATTGCTGATTCATGCTTAATGTGTGGCCCATCAAGACACCCAGATCCTTCTTAAAGTACTACTGCTAAGCCAGGTACCACTTCTCTTGTACCTATGCATCTGGTTTTTCCTAAGTGTAGTACCTTACATTTCATAACACTGAAAAACATTTTTTTCGATACACCAAGTTCAAGTCTATCAAGATTCTTTTGAATCTTGAGCCTGTCTTCTGGGTGTTAGCAATCTCCCCAGTTTTGTAGCATCCACAAATTTTTTGAGCATCCCTTGTATTCCCTCATGTAAGCCATTTATGAATGTAGGTGTTTATTTTACTGAATGCTTCATAACTTCTCTAGGATCTTTACAGTATAAAATTAAGAATGTAAAATAAAAAATAAAAAACTCATTGTACAAAATTGAAAAATAGAAATAGAAAATTAATGTAACTTTATTATTAACATAAGCATCATCTTAACTGCAAGGGACTTAATTGCAAGACCTGATAGAACCAAAATGGACAAAACAGAATTTGGACATCAAAATACTGAAAAAATATGTTAAATTGGGAGAACAGAGAACTTTTAGCCTAGTACTGATAAAATAATAGGGAAGGAACCAGATGAGCTTCCATCAGGAGAGCATTCTAGAACTGTGGGCCAGACACACATTTCCATCTAGTGACTAGTGAATTTTAATTTGTTAAACCTCTAGTGTTATTGAGGAAGACACAAAAGAGATTTGGAATTTGAGAGTTAAATGTTCTATCCACTATAAATACAAAATGAAAAACAAACAAAAGACTCAGCCAGGCAACAACACGATCTTTTTCCTCAGGCAAAAATCTATTCTCTACTTCTCTTCTCTTGTTTAGGGGTCTTTATATTTCTTAAAAGGGCAGAGAAAGGTGATGGGTGAATCAGGGCTTCAAAACACTCCAGGGAACCTCCCCGGTGAGATAGCTGTGGGAGGGAGAACTCCAGGATTTTAAAAAGTCACCTTCTGGTGTACATAGCTGTAAGAGGCAGACAGGCTCTAAGCTGAGGGATCATATGAAAATTCTAGTGCTATAATGGCTGGGGACATTGGGAGAAAAAACTTATCAGCAACTCTCTTTCAGAAAGAGCTAAATATGGGCATTTCTGGATAGTATTTCAAAATAGCTGAAGGAAACTTTAACACACAGTGTCTGATGCTGAGTACAGCCAGAAGGAATATATTCTTCAGCAAAAGGTATGCAAATTCAAAAGGGCAATTATTGCTTTTTTCATAAAAACACATAATACCAAAGAAAGACATTTCTAGAAAATATATGTTGCTCATGCAAAAACAAATACAAAATTATACTAACAACTGCTTTACCTGCTTGCATATACACAAATATTATCTACCAGGGGAAGATTCTTCAAAGCTGCTTCAACTTTACCAAGAGAAACATATTCACCTGCTTGAAGTTTTACAAGATCCTTTTTACGATCTATAGAATAGGAAATTAAAATTAATGTTAAAATGATTAAATTATCTGACATCTAGATATAAAGGATTTGATTTATTATGGTCCTACTATTCATTTCTATTTTAAGATTATCTGGCATTTAACAAATCTAGATAGGACAACTTTTATTAACTTCTAGTAATATGTATTTAACAGGTCCAAGATGTCTTAGCTTTTATGCTGAACTGAACTTTCTAAATACATTCACACATTATGGTAAGCCATGACTAAAAACAGAAAGCATTAACTACTCTGTCAAATGCCTATTTACTTGGAAATTAACCCAATGAATTAAAATAAGGAATTCAATGCAATGTCTTGCTCACTGTGTATCTTCCTACAATCCCAACCATCTCAAATTTAATAACTACATCTAAAATACTATCTGATAAACACAGAAGGTTGTTCAAAAAGAAATATCTAAGGTACCATTTCAAGAAAGCTATAGACTTTTAATGCTATTAAATTAGAATTATTGCTAAATTAGTATAGATAGGATTGCTCTGCAACTAAGTAGTCACCCTGATTTTAAAAATGCTTAAATTTTGTAGGTTGTGTCCTTATACTCTAAGGCAGCCCTCCTCGTGCGTGGAGTCCAGAACTCTCACCAATGGTCATGTTGTCTAGGAATTCTGAGAACTTAAATCTACGTATCAGGAAGGTGCTTAAGCTAAAGAAAGGTGGTTTAAGGTTACATGCCTACTCTAGGCAAAGAGACTTAATAAATTCAATGAAGCAAACATATTGTAAGTAAATGCTATTCTAAGCAAGAAGAAATGAACTCTCAGTAGAACTCACACAAAAAGTATTTCAATTCAATTCTGCAAGCTTCACTCACCAATAATTTTTAGACACCCATCTGATTGGAATTCCCCAATATCTCCAGTGTAGAGCCATCTCTGTCCACTCTCATCAACCATAAAATCAGTTTTGGTTCGTTCTTCATTTTTGTAGTATCCCATAGTTATGTTTTGGCCACCAATAACAATCTCACCCCTTGGGTATGGTTTATCTGTATTAAAATATCCACCTATAGAACACATATATTTTAAATTTGTTATTTTAAAAATTCAACAAAGTGTATTTGTATATACACATACTTAAAAAAATTGCACACATACACACACACTACCATACATGGATAAAGCAGCAAGACAGAATTCTCCTAAATGTGTTCCTGTTCCTATCAGTGGGTGTAGCTAGCAACCCCATTTTGCAATGTGCTATTCATGGTTTATTATTACATGCAAAAAAGAATTCTGGCTTGCTATGAAAGGAAAAAAAAAGACAAAAGAAAAGAAACTATGGTGTATTGTTAAATTTTGACTTCTATGGAGAGAAACAACCAGAGTTTCTAGTTCACACAGATAAGTAATAGATGAAAACACAGGGGTTCTGCAGCTGTTCCCAGTGAGAAAAAGAGCCAAGCAGATTGCCCATTAAAGTTGTGTGCAAATGCTAGCATTAAACTACAATACACTGAAGTGGAAGGGAAGATCTCTGCAATGAAATACTTTGATGGACTGGAAACTAAGCAGTCACACACAAAAAAGGTTGTTGTAGAAATGGTTCTCAGGATGGCGATCTGTGTAATATAGCAGTTGAAGCTGCAGGCACAATTCTAAACAATGAATTGAGAGCTGTCTATCCTGCATCCTACACAGAGATGGTTTATTCTGTCATTCAACACTGGTTGTCTACTTGGTTAGCTAAGAATTGAAATGAAGGTTCTATCAATCTATAAATCCTGTTTAAGGGGGAAAAAATCCAAAAAGGGCTTAGCTTGGAAACAAAATACAATATTTAGTTTTCTTTCTACCATAACCAAACCATTCAAGATAATTAATAAACTCAGGTTAGTAGAGTAAAAACAAAGATTAATTTTCTCAGTAATGATGTAATTGCAAACGAATAACCCAAAGCATGTTAAGTGAAAAAGGACATAGCATATGTAATAGGCCTGAAAGTGGCAGCTACAATAAATATTTGAATTTAAGGCTTCTATAGCTAAATCCAGTATAATCCACTGTATCACAGTTTTTACAGTGTCAGTTCCATAGTACTAGTCTTTTATATTTATCTTATTAACAATGACTCAATTTTTCCATTGTGTGATCCAAGTATACACAGCAAAAATAATTCATTAGAATTTTGATAAAGTCATTGGAAATATTATGGAAATAAGATTTTAAGGCCAGCAAATTCATCTGTGTATTCTCTTCACTTAATATTTATCTATCATACTTAAAGTGTATATTATAATTTTAAAATGCAGCATTTAGTGAAAGAATCCAAATAGCTTGAAATATATTAAATATGCAGAAAATATTGGTAATCTCTCATCTTGTATTTTTTATTTTTTTGTTGTTGTTCAAAGTTTATGTGCAGCATGTGACAGATTACTTATTTTAAAACCTGGCTATAGGAAGTGCAGCTAGAAAATAAAATAAAGCATGTATCATGCTTGTATTTGGCCTCTGTGTTATGTATGAAACACATGTATATACTTCTGCAAATCTTTATGATTTCTTGATAATACTTCTAAAGTTGTAGACATACATACATCGAATGCTACTTTTCTGCCTATTCTTTTCTTTTGAGCAATTTTAGACCACAAATGCTTTTACTTAAGATTAGTTTTCTTGTAATTTGTAAAGTCCCATGAATACTGGTGGTGTCCTATAAACAGGATGCTAATTACTGTCATTCCTCCCCAGCCCCCGCCCCACATACTGAGCTTGCCAGTAATATGGCCCAAGAATTGGTGGCTACCAACTGAACCTCTGGACACACATTCCCCTATCTTCAAACTGGAAAAAGAGGGTAGACAATCCAACATGTACTTAGAACCAGCCAGTCTCTAAATAAACTAAAGGCCCTTTAAGGTCCAAGAGCTTCAAAACTAAGAAAGGCTACCTAGTCAGTTACTCTATTAAAGAATTCAAGTGGCTGCAAATTAATTCTGCAGCAACATCACTATAGAACTTGTGTGTGTCTGCTGTTTTTCACTTTTCTTAGAATTCTGCTTTTGCTTGATGGGCTATCTTTTGACTTCAGAATCCTTTCTACCAACTCTGTCAACAGCTTGCCTTCTGGACCACAGACTGCTCCAGCACCTCAGGTACAACAGCTATTAATCTCGGTCAAATATGAAAAATGAATTTGTAGGTGTTGGGGTAGCTCTGTAATGGATTTACAGCAGCATGGGCAGTTATGTGTACCCCTAGAAGGACATATGTTACACCTCTGCCCTGGGAGGTGCATCGGTTACCAGTTTGCTTCCACGTCCAATTCAAGGTGCAGGTCTTGACCTTTAAAGCCCTACATGGCATGGGGCCAGGTTACCTGAGGAACTGCCTCTCCCCGATTACATCTCCGCATCCCATCAGGTCTGGTAACAGAGGCATGTTGCATATCCTGTCTGCTAAGGAATTCCATCTGACAGAACCCAGGGGACAAGCCTTTTCTTCCACAGCAGCTGCCTTTTGGAACATCATCACCCTGAGCTGAGGTTAGCCCCAACCCTTATGGCTTCCAGAAAGCCCTCAAAACATGCTTTTTTCATCAAGCCTGGGGATCCCTGGATAGCAGGGAGCCAGCATGGTGGTTACATCACGCATAACATTCTGATTTTAACCCTCTCACGATCTTGATTTTAATATTAATTTGTTTTAATTGGTTTTATAATATGTGTAAATTGTTGGTTTTATTGTATGCCACCCAGTCACCTTATATGAGATGGGCGGCTACATAATTTGATAAATAAAAATAAATAAAATATTCTCCTGAGATGAGGACAAGATCAATGATGTCTGTGCCTGAGGACAGTCATATAATATCAAAAATAATATTGATAACATTTTTGCACTGCAAGAAAAAAATCCACTTACA